ATAGCTTTCTCGAGCGTTTGCATAGGTTAGTTTTGGAATTAAAAACGTTTCTCAATTAAAGAAAATGAAATGTTCCCTTGTTGTTAATTGCAATCGGCTGGCGGAATTCATTGTTTCAGGTATGTCGAAGTGGTCAGTTACATTTTAAACTGCTAATTTGTGTCCACCTAAAAAATTTCATGTACCCAGCCTTAGCGTGACTCAGTACAAGCAGCCTTGTCTGGGAGATCACGTGCCCTACGCATGCTAATGTTTTGGAGCACTATGTTGGTTAAATGGACAGAGTATAGTAAAAATATCGTAGGTGAGTCTAAAAACGCTTGAGAAACACGATTGTTTGCCGTTTTGTAAACTTTCTAGTGAAAATCTCACAATAAAGTGTCATTTGACACTTCCATCACATATTTCATATATAGATTTTCATTGAAAAGTTTGAAAAAACGCAACATGTTTCACTATACAATCGAGGGAAATCATTTAATTCTAAATGGTCATTCAGTACATTCTCAGAATTCTTCAATCTATTAATTTCCAAGCATTCCAAAAGATTCACTTTGAAACTTCCACTTCATAGTCGTGGTTGGATTCATTCCCCTTTGCCAAAAGGTAGTTTGCAAATGTGGTTGTATTCGAATAATCATACGTTGTCCAATGTATATAAAGGAATAAAAAACTGTAGGCTTGCTGAATTTACAGAACTTTTCGAAGAGTTACAATAAATCTAGAATGTGAATGAAGATTTCCAATAAATCAAATTGGAATAGATTTCGTTTACTCTCAGAATCGGCTGTATCAAAATTGCTGAAAGAGTTATTGAAATTTGATTACTCCTGAACAGTTATGGGTTCTGAGAAATTCTAAGAAATCGATGATGGTTTCTTAATAATCTAGGCTCGGAATTATTCCTTACGACAAAAACGGTCCAATCACGCAGCCTTGAGGTATACCAAAATTGGTCACTAATTGGTTTTTTGTGCTCAGGCAGTCCCTCCTTTCCCTGAGTTACATCCATATTAAATAAATCAATTAACTTGGCGATTAAAGTACCTGCGATTAGGTCAAGGTCGTTTGGCGGCACGTCAGGTGGTTTATACTGAATCATAATCATCGTCGCTACTTCAATAAATACGTACCCGAGCAGCGGGTCAATAAAGCTATTGACCTTTCCGGTATTCCTGATTGCGGTCAAGAATTGGCTGATCTCGTATTAGCAGGAATGTAATTAGATTTACATAATTTTGTTCGGGGGAAAAATGCCGCAGGATTGATGACTTGTGAGAAAAATGACTTCATTCCCAATCATCGAATTAGTTCTAGTATTAACAAAGGTAATAACTTGATGTTGATTGCAGGTAAGTCCAGGCAAGGACAAAGTTTAATGGCAAATATTGTAGTCATGATCGCAAAGTGCGTAATCTTTGTCTCTGATTTTTGTCCAAATCTACATTTAGGGTACTAAATCTGATGTCAACCTAGAACACAAAGAAAGTATTTGGAACTTGTTTTTACTACGTTCTGGCTGAGAAAGGTTTCCATTGACGAATTCAATTTAGGCCTAGGGGGACAATTCAGGATCTATGCAATAGTCCCAGCAATGTTTTGTGAAGTATATATCATATTTGGTACTTGTTTACGATTTTGAAATTCATTCTAGAAATGATCCGGATCGATATTAGTTCAAATGTTGCACTCAACACTCAAGTTATCTTAAATTATACCAAAAAATTAGAACTTTTTTTTAATAGCTGTTTTAAATTTCCTCAATTGTTTGCACAATTAATGAGCTTGATAAAGAAGCCTGTAGTACTAACATTTTCATCTGCTGCTTATTGTACCAAACTAATAAAAACTTTTAATAGGAAATCCAAACAAAAGGTCGATGTCTATCCAGACATTATACTTTTTGTATAATCATTCTTACACATTTTCAACGAGAAAATATATACCTACTTTCAAATGACCGATATCATGAGGCTTTTCTAACCCTTCATGAGCATGTTGATATAACTATTTTTTTTCGAATCATTGCATTGAAAGTAATCTGAGACTTTGAAGCCAATTGTCTATGTCAAAATTTGACATAGGTCGTTTTTGTTCCAAGCAACAAACACTGGATACGCTGATAAGTTCGTAGGCTAATACATAGATGGCGCTACTAGTATTGAATTCATATGGTTTTCAGGTAACCTTCAAAAGACTGTTGTACAAATTTCACAGCTATCGGACTATGAATTGGTGGGATAAAACATTTTGATTGAAGCAAACTTTGTTAGTTTGAGAAAAACATGGATGAAAAGGAATTTCATGTGTTGATAAAGCATTGCTTTTTGTCGAAAAAAACACTTATGAAATAAGGCTGTTACCAACGAAAACATCAAAACATCATTATAATTTTGGATGACCGCAAAGTGGAGTCGATCGAAATAGCTGAGGCTCTAAAGGTATCAAAGAAAAGTGTTTGACATATCGTTAATGAATATTTGGGTATGCGAAAGCTCACAATCATCCAAAAAACAATGAATTGGTGATTCTGAACAGTGTTTGAAGCTGTTTCACCACAAAAAAACCCGAATTTAAGCGTTAATTTGTGGCAATGGATGAAACATGGTTCTATCATTTCACACCAGAATCAAAACGGCGTTTTTGGAGAATTTAAAGGACAAAATCGCCGGAAAACGGCTCCATTTGAAGAAAAAGAAAGTGCTGTTTCATCAAAACAATGCACTGTGTCACAAATCAATGAAAACGATGCATAAATCGGGCTTCTAATTTCTTTCACATCCACCGTATTCTCCAGATCTGCCCCCCAGCGATTTTTTCCTGTTTTCAGACCTCAAGAGAATGCTTGCTGGAAAGAAATTTAGCGCCGATGAAGAGGTAATCGTCGAAACTGAGATATATTTTGAGGCCGAGACAAATCGTATTATAAAAATTGTAGCGAAACATTTTACGACCGCAATAATCGTTGTATCGCCTTCAAAGGCTACTATATTGAATAATAAAATAAAATTTTATATAAAAATATTTTTCTATGTTAGCCTACTAACTTTTCAGCCCAACTGTTACGTTCTGACAATTTGAAAAATTTTACTTAAAGAAAACAGTACATACTGTTGCTGTAACATTGACTGGTATACCTAACCTCAATAAAAGTATGATTTTAGTGATAAAATTTTATAAAAATTGCTTTTATACGAGTCAATATTGTTTCTGTTTTCAAAGACTACAATTTCCAGAGTATTTTAACTCAGTTAATGTTTGTTGAAAAAAGTTTCAGAGAAATCAGTGACTTCGCTCACAATGTTTTTCTGTTACTAACATCCAGCACTTATAGTAAATGCTTCTGGGTGCACCTATTCCAGATCCAAGTGACCCACTCGTTTAAACAGATCCTGCAAGTGAATGACTTGTCGAGCCATCGAACCCCAAAGTCGAATCGAAAATTTTCAAAATCTTTGGAAAAGACTGGACTTGAATCCAGGGCCGGATTTGGAAGTCTGGAGGCCCTGAGGCAACAAAGAAGTGGAGGGCCCTATTTTTTTACTATACAAAAGAATAGTATGTTCAAAACTAATAACTCTAACAGAGGGAAAGGTTAATGCAGTCAAGCTGCTGGAAAATTATTCCACGAAAATCAAAAGACAAATAGATAAGTACTATTCTGATCAATCCCATATTAATTTCTATTTAAGAGCCACCGGTAGACAGCTGTTTCAGCCTATTGGGCATCGTCAGTACCGGGCAGGCGGTCCTCGATTGAAGACAAAATGTGACAGCCGTCTTAATTTCAAACAGGGTGGAGTTTGGCTCCCTCGCCCTTACAACTGGGCAAGTGACAGCCATCTTGGTTTCGGACAGGTTGGAGCCTGGCTCCCTTACCCTTTTGACTAATGTTTGTCAAAGGGACAAACGGGTTATGACTGATGATGGGAACAACTGGGCAAATAATCAAGAAAAGTACTTAATAAAAATAACTGCGTAAACGCAAGCGAGACATTTTTTTTTGACCGTGGGACGCATAGTCCATAATAGCCAGCAACTAAACGTTTTTTTTTTATCAATTTTCGAAAACAAAGGAAAGGGTTTCAGAATATTGCATAAGCGAGACATACCTATTGGTGTGATACCCAAGTCAACTTACCAAGTTGTTATGTCAATGTTGGCGGTTTGACCAATCAACCGACAACTGTGGTAGCAGAAATTTGGGAAGCTAACCTGGAATACCATCGGAAAACAAATCCACATGTTTCTAGAAAGATATGAAACTTTTTTTTTCTCGTGGAATAATTTTCAAGCAGCTTGACTGCATTAACCTTTCTCGATTTCATGAAACATGTGGATTCGTTTTCTGATGGCATTCCAGGTTAGCTTCCCAAATTTCTGCTACCGCAGTTGTTCCTAGTATAAATGCAAAAAAATGTTTGGGGGAAAAACGTGAAAGTTGCCGACCTGTCAAAATTTTGATATATTTTTCAACTTCATTGAGCGGGTCCCTCTCCTGGAGAGGCCCCGGGCAGTAACCCCGCCTGCCTCCCCTAATTACGGTCCTTCGAATCTATGAGTTCCATTCTATAATCGACTAACCCAACAGAACTGATATAATGAATACATTACAAAACATGTGTAGGTCTTTTAAGTCATAGATAAAAATAGAAAAACAATTATTTTATACTAATCTTATAGTTATCCATAATGAAATGGTGTGGAATTAAAATGATTTGTTTTGTATGGGATCATTTTTTATAATAGCGTATCAATACTACCGAATGATTCAGAGAACAATTTTCGGTTGTAGTCATTACTAACTTGTATCAAGAAATGTGTCATCAGAAAATGTTCCCAAAACTATTTTTTGTAGCGATGAATAAACATTTTATAGATCATAAGATACTACTTGTTCAAGACGTGATTTGTACCTCTATAATATAATATGCAGTTAACAAAATCATGAACCTAGTTATTGTTCAAGGAGATATTCTAGTCATTCATTTTTTTTTCAGCTTCGAGTGCCACTAAACGTCAACTTCAGAGTCAAGCAGAAAGATCTTGTGGTTAACCTTACGAAGAAACATTTGACATGCGGAATCAAAGGTCAACCGCCTATCATAAACGACGATTTTCCTTATGAAATCAAGCTAGAAGAATCCACTTGGGTCATAGAAGATGGAAAATCACTGTTGTTCAATTTAGAAAAGGTATGTTTAATAATAATGTTTTATCAACAACTTTTAGCATATTTTTAAATTTACACAATTATCCAATTTTTGCTGATGATACAACTTTATTCAGCTGAAGAAAAAACTTGCAAGTAGTATTTTTTTATCAAGCAGCTTACAAAATCTGAACTGAACTTTGTTTCATTCTAAACTGAACTAAAGAGTTTATTATTGTGTATGGTACCATGCCCCTACAATTCTGTTCATTTCCAATATGTTACATGTTGTCCATAAATCTCCTAATATCCGCAGGACTCGCGAGTGATATTCACAGCACTAGAGGTGCTGTGTAAATTTAAATACCTCACTCTAAATTTTCTGTATCTCAAAAGAATTCATTGAGTTTCAATATGTATAGCATACTTTTTCCGAAGGTAAAAAAAATCTTGGTTCAAATGAAATCAAGAAGAATAAAAAATAATTCCTTTTCAAATATCTTTCTATTAACATAAAAAAATAACATGCCAGTTTCAAAGAATTGTAATTTTTTCATGTACTCATTGGACATTCAATGTATCACACACTCAATGAAAAATATTTTTACTGTTTTTTCCAAATCAGTTATCTTTCATGTCTTTATAATTATTTTCATGTGTTTTCTTCAATCGTGTGTGTGTAGATATTTTTTTTTGATCTTATGCAAATTCAATTAGTTGAAAACAGATCTCAAAAGTAATGATATTACTAGGGAAATGAAGTATAGAAATACTGTCAAATAATACTCCTTGTTCACATCCCTTTGATGTATTTTTATTATGTTGTATCATGATAAATATTGAAATAAAATATTGAAAATAATATTCCATTTTTAAAAACGTACTTAAAATTATAAAAAAAAATCTAGCCCTATTCCCTCAACACTAAGACTGTAATACCTGGTGAAATACTTTCTTTTTGGGCTGTCTCATTGACCACTAAAAATTTATACTAATACATTCATTAATGTCATTAATTTTTTTTTAATCGATTAACACATGCCTAAATTCCATTATCTTTTTTAAGGTGAATAAAATGAACTGGTGGAACAAACTAGTTAACTCAGATCCGGAAATCAGCACAAAGAAAATAAACCCAGAGCCGTCTAAGTTGAGCGATCTAGATGGTGAAACCAGGGGGCTAGTCGAGAAAATGATGTATGACCAAAGACAGAAGGAAATGGGACTTCCCACTAGTGACGAGCAAAAAAAACAGGACGTCATTAAAAAGTAAGGACATTGACTTCGTAGGCATTGAAGTAAGGAAATATGTGGCACAAACTGTTGAAACATATTTTTGTAAAACTTCTGTAACATTAATTAATTTGAAAACAATTTTGTTTATTTGTGTATCAAGAATTGCATCGTAAGATTGGCAATTTCTCATGATGCAAATCTTACTACTAAAACTTTTTAGGGGACTTCCTTAAATCTGTCATTTTATTTTTCTAAAAAATGGTCTGTTTCGTAATTTGCTACCAAAAAAAACAAAATGTAAATTATTGGTCATCCAGTTTTTGCACACTCTGTCAAAGCTATTTTCCTTGGCCGTGGTGTGCTGGTTTTATGCCTAATATTTCGTCCGCAACTGCGGTAGACATTATTTTGCCTTTGATAATGCCTGCAAATCACAGCCAATGAATATGGAAAATAGCTTTGAAATAAATTCATTTAAATAAACTCTTCCCACATCAGAACAAAAATACTGTCACTGAACGTGCGTTTCACTAACCAAGATGGCATCATCAGAAGATGTCTAAACAGTCTTCTAATGATATTAATCAGATTGGAGAAATGTGTGGAAAGAGGTTTTTAAAAGATTAATGCCTATCAATCTATGAAATAGTTATAACTTACTAATAAAATTTCATTTTGATTTTCACTGTAAAAAGTTTATGAAAGTGTGACAGGTGTTTCACTCTACAATAGCTTACTCAAGCAGGATATCCTGCTTCATGATAGCTTTCTCAGGCAGAATTTCTCATTCAAGGAAGCTGTTGTATAGAGAATATATAATAATATTAAACAGACAGAGCATTGTTTATTCAGATCAACATTTTTTGAATGATGGTTCAATTTGATTTTCTTTTTTTCAGGTTCATGGAGCAGCACCCAGAAATGGACTTCTCAAAATGCAAATTCAATTGACTCAGTTTCGCTGGAAGTTAATGAATCGTTTTTATTTTTGTATTCGCTTTACATTGTTTTTTTTTAAATAAAGTAGGTAGAATAAGAAAAAATATGTTATGCACATTGAAGTAATTGTTTTTTAACAATTTGAAATTGTTTCAAAATCTTTCCTCTCTAACTACAGTAATTCATATTCAAGAAACACTTGATTGTGAGATTTTCACTATAGTTTTACAAAAACGCAACACATGTTTCGCTATACAATAGCTTCTTCAGGCGTGTCTGTACCCAGTATAAACTTTGTAGTGTTTTTTGAATACGTTATGGATTTTCATCAAGTATCAGCTGATTCCATCACATACTGATGATTCAATAAAACAAATTCCAGACAATTTGGTAAATAAACATGTTTTAAGCATTTGCCAATAATCCATTCATAAAAACTTCAAAATTGTGATTTGTTGGTTCTTCGTTGATATCTACATTATTTTACCACAGAAATCTGAATTGAAGCTATTATTCCAAAAAGGTAATATTAAATTCTAGTGTATAAAAACGAATTAATTTATAATATACAAAAAAAAACTGTCCTAAGTACTAGCTCCATCGAATAATGCCACGGCAATCAACAAATTTCGCCTAGTAAAGTGCACGTTGATCAGAGGCGAATTTTTCGTTGCAAGAGTCCTCATCAAATACTCTTCTCCAGATTTCACGTCCGGATTGTGTGACACGTTCACTTCATCAGAACTTGTCTCCTCCATCAACTTCGTAAAATCCCAGAGCTTTACGTTGCAATCCAGCCCACCTACAATAACATCAAAAGTAATAAAATTGATACCCTTTGATGTCAATTCATCCCATACCTGACACCAAAATGTTCCCGCACCGACTGAAAGACAAACAGTGTATCGTCTTCTCATGCCCAGTCAACTCGGCCACCAGATGTCCGTGGCTGAGATCCCAAATTAGCACTTTGCAATCTGTGCCCGCCGAAGCTAGCATTCTCCCGCATATGCTAAATGCTAATGCGTGAATGGGAGATTTATGACCCGTCATGAGACGGACGTGGTTACCGGTCGTGCAATCCCAGAGGCAAACGCGTCTATCACTCGAACCTGTTGCCACGTAATTGGAGTTAGGATGGAACTGTATGCACTGAAAGAAATATAACATATATTGGATATAGCCACCATATGGACCTGATTTCATATCTATAGTAATGTTTTTCTAGAAAATCAAATCTAGACTTACATCGACATCCGAAAAGTGCCCAGCAAACACCCTCAGCGGTTGGTAGTGATCCGTGGCCCAAAGCCTGGCCGTGCGGTCGTTGGAACTGGATGCAAAGTAGTATCCTAAAGGCGAGAACTTGACGTCCCACACGGGAAACATGTGACCCTTGTAGATAACGAGACACGTCCATATTTGTAGGCTCCACAGTCTGATAGTGGTGTCTTCAGAAGCACTGAGAAGGAGTGTACGATCTGGGGAGAACGAAACTGAGTATACCGCTCCTGTGTGGCCGCACAAGGTGCGTGATGTCTCGCCGGAACGTTCATCCATCATTCGGACCTGAGAAAGGAATAAATGGATTCATTTATGGAGAAAACTTTCTTGTTGAATCTGGGTAATTTCAAAATGTTTTATCTGTTGACTTTTATAAATGATGAAGTTTGTGTCATATGCAGGGTTCACAAACTTTAGTATGCCGCAAGGATCCATTTTTCAAAAATATTTTATCATAATTTTTTTCTTTCTAGATTCCTCAGTGCACATGAAACAAGTTCAAATGATCAGATATTTCTTATTCTCAGTTTTCGAAACTCCTAAACATCAATCCTTCCCAGCTCAATGATTAATTTCATTAGTACTAGAAGCAACATAAGGGTTTAATACCACATGTATACATTTCCTCATAAATCTAGTTACAATGTAATGATACCAAATCTCGTTAAATGAAATCAGATCAAGTTTGAAATCATACTTGTTCAATGAAGATTTTTAAAAAGTAATTTCAATATTACTACGTTTAAACAAAAAAAACCTGATTTTTACCAAGACATCATCTGCTTCCACATTAACATCTTCGAGTTGTTCAGCAGTTTTCATCGCCTTAAGCTTCTGCGGCACCAGAGTCCAGACTTTTACTATTGAATCATTGAATCCCACTGCCAGCATACTCGAATCTTCAGTGATTTCGGCACAGCAGACTCTAGAAAACGTGCCAATAAAAATTCTGGAGTCAGTTTTAATTTTTCAACTTACGAATAATTTGCGTTCAAGAGAGTATAACAACAACAAGAAGGTAATGATTCAGGCCCCAAAGTAACTCGTCTGGATGTTTCTCTCAAAGCTTTTATTTTTTCCAGTTTATCATTGTCTTTCCTGAAAAACGCAGATTCATACCCTATTCAATGTAGGATTGAACGCAACAGATTTATATAATTCGAAATTAAAAAAAACTAATGAATACAGTATATTGTATGATTTTTTTGAGGAAGCTATTGTATAGCGAAACACGTGTCGCGGTTTTTGTGAAACCCTTTTATAGTGAAAATCATACAATAAACTGTATTGATTAGTTTTTTAATATGGATTTTCTTTAAGTATCGGCCAGTTCTATTCAATAATTTGAAATTATTTGAAAAGTACTGAACAAGCCATTTATTGTATAGGATCTTTATAGGGTTTCTCAAGTTTTATTTTTTTCAAGTTATTTGAAAAAATTATCAGACCTAGAATCTTACCATTCTGGTACTGGTATTCTATCTGGAGGTGGAGCATTGGGATCAGATTTTGTCTTTTTAGAGAACAAAGGATCTTTCTTGGCCTTTTTTTTCTTTGGTTTATCAGGATTGTCTTGGTCCGCTCCTTCCTCTTCATCTTCCACGGGAGCAGCTGCTAAGGATACCATATCCGGAGCCTTTGGTATTCCATAGTATACCTTTGTTTTGTTATCTAAAATTTATTTTTAAAAGATTTTATTTTAATGCTTAAATTTACCCAGTATAAGATTTATTACTGTTTGGAGAAGTATTAAATACATATAGAACATCTAAAACCAGAACTTTGATTAGTATCTCAAATATCAAGAAAAAAGCGGTTTGTAATGTTTTTTTAAGAGATGCATATTTTTACTTTACATTTTTAACGCCCCATCATTATTGCGTCATCCAATGTCATGCATTAGAAGTTTACACAACTTTCAGTGTGATAGAATGAAGGTATATTACATTAATTATTGTCATTAGAGGAATTGAAAAATTATTAACTATATTCTACTCTGATTTCATTGGGATTCCATCAATTTGTATCATCATTTATGAGTCAAGAAAAACATATCCTTGGGACATGATATGTTAGTTAATACAGGAGTCAGTGGCTGAACAATTAAAAAAGTGAAAGTCTGACAAACTTTTGAAGTCACATTTGTTAATAATAATTTTTTGAAACATGTGAAAAATGTCATACCTACAAGATTTAAAGTTTTGTGGACTGACTAATAGAACCTAAACATGAAGATACATCAGATGTGTTTCAGTCACATCCCCAACTTTGAAATCTTTGCTGAATTTAGGTATGTGATTTCAGGTAAAAAACGATCTACAAAAAGGTCATCTGCAATTTTTCGATATCTATCAGTTTTATCAAAAAATCTTATCAGACCTTTTTTTGTAGATCATTCAATTATTTATAAGTATATGTTGTGAATTTGCTTGAATTTTCTAAATAATCAACTTTTAATTGATTATAAAATTACTTATCGTCAAAGAATATGTGATAAGATACTAAATCTCATTACCTTGTCTTTTAGCCTCCCCTCCTATAGCTCCCGAAGTGGCATCTATTTGGCTCTTATTCCTCGCCACACCTTCGTACATATCAAAGTACAAGTGCTCCTGAATTATATTCAACATAACGGCAGCTTTTTTGTCATTCAAATGCCTTTTCAGCAGAGACAGTGTATCCCTTGATATCCTTATGATGAACTGGTTCGATTTGAATGTTTCAGTTAATTCGTTGCCGTTCATGTGATCTCTTTTAGTTACCATAGCTAGTTTCTTTAAATCTTCCTGATAGTAACAATCCTGCTCAGGTCCGAATTTTTTCATCAAACCAATGGCTTTTTCCGTGTGTCCATTGTATACCAGCTCTAGGTACATGTGTACCAAGACAGGATAGAGTATTGTACCTAGGATTATTTCAAAAAAATATTTGAATACACTTTTCTATCTTTTGACTAAACTTACAAGGTGAGAAAAAATCAATGAGTAGAATGAAAACCCTGCAGGCAAATGTATAGATCATTCAGACATTTTTCAGATACAAATTGAAAGAACTAATCAATCTAATCAACCTACTTTCTCTTGCGGATATTGAAATCACAATTTATTATGAGTTTCTAATACCAAAAAAAGTATTGGACTTTCGAATGGCCTGATGCTGAAAAATAATGTTCGCGTCAAACTTCGACTTCAGATTCATGATTAGGATACAAGGATGTATAAGTAATGAAAAAAATTACTAATGTAGCGGAAGCCCCTCTGCCTGCTGAATACCATAATTTTTTATTTCTTCAGAAGTTGCCTTGAACTTTATATTAATGGAAAAATATAAATATCTTACCCAGCTCGTGCTTGTAAATGTCGAGGGATCCTTCCACGAACCGCTTGAGCTCAGTGTAAGAAACCTCATATGCTTCCGGGTCTCCATCACTTTTGTATCCTGTCAAGACGCTGCTAACGTCAGACTCTTGTTGTAGCGATTCCGAATCTGCGCCTCCTGTTAGGTTTGCTTCCTTTCGCAAAATCTCTTCAGTTCCCTGAAAATATAGTTTTATTGATAATTCAGTAGAGAGGTAGAAAAAATGGAACCTTTAAGTTGTATCGCTTCAGAATTTGAAGAATAGCAGATATTTGAGATTTATCCATTATAGAATTGAATTATCGCCAAGTTATTTGATTAACTCAATATTTCATAGGGATCATTCTAATATAAACCCACTAAAATATTACACTTCATCAACAATCAACATAACCTAATATACATCAAATAAAATGACAACCTAATAAATGTCAAATGACGTTTTTCTCTTTCAATATTATATTTTCGTACTAGAGTTTGAACAATTTAGTAACAGACGCAGTGTTTTCGTTGTCCTCTCATCAGCATATATTATTTCTACCGTATAATGCTAAAAGAACGCATTATACTTCTGCTCCTTTTTCCAGAGTATCTATTTCTGGTTATATTTCATCGGTGGTGTGCGTGACTTCATTCTTATTACTTTTGGAAGCCAGATTTCAATAATGTTTATGCTGTATTGCTTTCGATTGAAATTTTCTTTGTATTTATGAATTTTTTTTGCCTCCGGGTGTAATATTGGATAGCAATTTTGGGTTACCATTCATATGTTTGCATACCGAAAATTGAATCTTTGGGTAAAATTTTCATTTTTTCAAATAAATGTGTCTTCTTCTCAATGTTGCCAATCAAGAAACACCTGAAAACATGTACAACTATGTTTTCAGATGTGTCCATGAAATTGACGTGTTAAAAGAGTTTTTGCCATTACTCCAAAGCTGCAGTCTGAACGGATGTGACATTATTTCTGTGTTATTTTTAACAAATTTTGCTTTCACGGACGGTGTCTAACAAATTATTCGATGTTTCCGGGTTTATCAGTTTACGCATTGCAGCAAGTTAGATCACTTTGACCGTTGCCGCATCGCCTTTAATAATGTCTGTCTCAGTAGCAAACGAAACGTCAGGAATAGAAACCTGCAGACCATGACTAATAAATCCTGATACATCGGACATTATTTTGCTGAAATTAATTTTAAAAAAATTAACTGAATATCATAATTATAAATGATATTTTTTAATTGTAGTAAATTTTTTATAGAAGTGACATCTATGTGATTGTTGACTGAACAAATAAATATATGCCTTATACAGTAAAATTGTTTTTTTAATTCCTCAATTTGGAAAAAAATCGTAGTCGCATCCATTCCAAATAATTCAAGTATAATTAAAATTGTGATATTTTCTAAACCTAAAAGACATTGATTTGACGGTCGAGTATAATTAAAACGGGATTTCATTTTGAGAACGTAATGGATAGCAGAACTTCTAAATTTAAATTGAAGGGGTTATATTTTCAGGAGTGATTCATTTTTTGGGATTAAAGGGATTTCTGAGTTTCCAATAACTGCTGCTGAACAAACTACTCATAATTGTCTCAAATGTTGAAATTTGAGGACAAATGAATAGCTGATCTTTTAGAAGGAACAATTATATCAAGAAGTAATTCACAAAGATTTGATGTCTGTCGAGAATAATACTCAGTAGATGGAACCAGTTTCAAATCGCAACAGTAATATCAGTTAAAAATAATAAAGTTACTTTTAGTGAAACGTTGAAAACTCCCGTTAGTCAGGAAAGCTATTGATTCGCTGTAGACAACCCCTTCCGATATAGAAGGCCCCCGACACTCTTTCGAATGAGGCCCTCATCCTCATGTGTCCTCCGTTTATAGATGAATAATATCTTCATCCATCTCACCCCAGCCAGGTAGGGGTACACCGCGAAGGGCGGCACTGATGTCTGAGGACATTCATGCCGCCATCACCAATCAGTTATGACCCATTTGTCTCTCTGACAAAAGCCAGTCTAAAGGTAGGGGAGCTAGGCTCCAGCCTGAATGAGATCAAGATGACGAACATGTTGAGAACTCCATTTATAAACCTCTTCAACACTCCAAAACTGTTTTATTCTTTAGAGAATAATTCCCCCTCTACTGTTACTATCTCAATGTCCGAAGAGGATTTGATAATTTTTTCACTAATGACACATATATGAAAATAGAGATCAGACCTAAAAATTATGTCACTTTTTTGAATATGATTTGAGTCGGTCGAAAATGTTACTTCAATGATTTTTGTGAATACTTGATAGATGGCGTTGTTTCCAAATTGTCATTTTTGTCTCAGTTTGGAAAGATTTATTAGACTAGTTTAGATGGGAAGGTGGGAGGGATATTTAAGCAATCACTCATAAGACAAACTATCTTGGATGTTGAAAAATCTTAGAGAAGACTTTAGAAACAATATAAAATAGTATCTTTTAAATATTGACGAAAATAGACAATATCACCCCTCCTACTTAGTTTCTTCGATGACCGAAAATAAATAAAGTATATTTTATACTCCTTTACTGAGATATTAGATGGGGAAAGAAAGCGGCGCCATCTGTGGGAAATTTTAGAAATTTGGAATCAGATCTGAAATGTATCACACTTTTTCGAAAGAAAACAATATTTCATTCACCAATAAACAATTTTGAAGATTTTTCTTCGAACTGTATCGTAGTCTGATATCAACACAGATGAAAAGGTGACCTTCTAGAAAGTATAATATATACTAAGATGTCTTCAATGTTTTTGAAGAAATTGATAACCACTTTCGAAGGTCCTAAATTTGATCTACAAACCTATTAACACATTGATTTGAATTAATTAAATGGGATAAAATAATGTCGACACATCAGCAGAAATGTCCTCACGTTAGAGTATGTTAATGGAAAATTTTTAAAACACTTTCACATGGAAAATAGATTACGAATTATAATTATTAAATACACTCATATGCTCCCCCCGAGGTTGAAAGCCCTGACATACTATAATCCTCTCATTGTTACCACAGTATTACATTACTGTAATTTTACTGTGTGTAGTAGCTAAAATTTCTTAACCTTGAGTTGTTCTCAACCTGCTGTTTAGCGCTCCTGCAAGATCGATATTCCTATTTGATTCGTGGAAAGTCATAATTTAAAATTTATGACTGAGAATGAAGTTGTGATCTGGATCTAGAGCCATCTATTATCGATTATATCGATAATAGATGGCTCGAAGTTTTGCTTGCAATTCATCTAAAGACTGCAAGACACTATTATTTATATCAGTACTGGAATCAGCAGTAGAAAGTTGGCAACACTGATTCTATTCGTAATGAATAGCAGGGTTATTACACTGTAGTAATCCTTATGATGTACTGTTTGGAACCTTTGGTGTAGTAATGAATATTACTGGAGTTTTTTCCCAACACCAAATCGTTATTTTCAACACTTCGACACGTGTTTCGATCACCAAGAGATCATCTTCAAGAGGAAGATAAAACTAGTTTTATTTTACTCTTGAAGAAGATAAAACTAGTTTTATCTTCCTCTTGAAGATGATCACTTGGTGATCGAAACACGTGTTGAGGTGTTAAAAATAATGATTTGATGTTGGAAAAAAATTCCGGTAATATTTATGTAGTAATCCTGATGAATACTCTCTAATTTTCTGATCGAAGAATACCACAAATACTAAATTGTAGTAAATACTACATTGTTTCAACCAACACAAACGCACCAATGTTTCGAATGGACCAATAGATGAATATCGGATCAATGGGTAGACTCATCGTTGAACTTAAGAACTCGTCTTATGAATTGTGGAACGAGAGCACTACTGACATGTGTCATTGGATTTTTTTACGATTAATCGAATCTTCTTTCAAAGAAAAACCCTAAAATAAGAAGAAGAACGGAAGAACCCGACGCTTTGAGTTGCTAACCTATAAATTTGTAAGAATTACAGATAATTCCTAAAATAAATTAAGTTAAATATACTCAGCGATTTTTAAATACCATTGAACATGGCTCTAGCAAAACCAAAATCAGAGATGTCTTCGGAGGAGCTCCAGGCTCGCGAAGAGGAGGAATTCAACACTGGGCCACTTTCAGTTCTAACCCAGTCGGTGAAAAACAATACTCAGGTACTAATTAATTGCAGAAATAACAAGAAATTGTTAGGACGAGTGAAAGCGTTTGATCGTCACTGCAATATGGTGTTGGAAAACGTGAAGGAAATGTGGACAGAATTACCCCGACCAGGTAAAGGCAGAAAGAAGGCAAAACCAGTGAACAAGGATCGATTCATTTCTAAAATGTTCTTGAGGGGCGATGCAGTTATTATAGTGGTGAGGAACCCACTTGCTACGGCGAACTGATATGTACCTCGTGTGAAATATTCTAGGAATAATTTAATTTTGTAAGTTACTTATAGTGAAGACTTTGAATAAAGCAATGTTTCCATAGTATCAATTTTAATTTCAAATTCTCCAACTCTGAAGGATAATTTCAACAATACAAAAGGCTTAAGTGAAGCTTAGCAGACTGGATATGACAATGAAAGTCATATTCAGTTAACTACGTAAATCTGCCTTATGCAGTTCTAATCTTGAGTAGAGAGGATGAGATCATCTGGGAAGATAAAATACTAGGAGCTGATCCACTGATAAGTAAAATACACCTTTAAGTTCTGGTGCAGCTGTATTCAGTTGCAGACCCAGATGATAAATATCAACCTATGTGTCCTTACTTCAGGCAGAAGTCTGTGCCATTGATTTGTGTGAAGACATTGATGAAAAGCGACCTGAATAGCCAACCAGCTCTAGCATTACTTGGCTCTCAATAAACATCATCAAAAATATTATCTAATTTACAAAAAACTTCCTCATTAGGATGACTTGATAAATTGTCTCTGGCCTGCGTTCCTGGCCACACTGGCCTGGAAAATAATGAGGCTGCTTACTTGAAATGAAGGATGCTGTGAGTAGCTTCATCTGACCAGAACCTGTCATTGACATCACTTTAGGTTTTGTCAAACAAACACAATAGGTGGACTGCAAGAAAAGTGTCAGAAAAAATCTACCGGGATCCTCTCACCTAATCTATTTATAGTTGAAAAAATTCAATAGGACACTGTTGAATTTAAATAAAACAATGTTTCAAAAATCCATTTCAATTTGAAATTTTCCTGCTCTAAAGTTCAGATAAATTTAAAATATTTTAATAATACAGTTATATTGGAATTTCAATTTCTTAGTTATACCCTTTTTAAAGAATCTTTCAGATGAATAATTCAATTTTTTATTTATAAGTAACTTGGAAGTATAGAACACCATATCACATTTTATAGGATAACTGTGAAGACAATTTTCCCACACCAAACGATCATATTACTAACTCAGGTACTGATTAATTGCGAAGCGTGCTTTGAGAGAAAATATTTTTGTTCTAATATGGGAAAAATGTTTTTAATAGATTCCAAGTTCTATGCTTCAAGAAGAACCATATAAGATGATATGTAACATGCTGTTACCACGTGGAATATTGGCAAATATGTTTTTACATTTACTCTATTCTTTTTTATGTGGCATTCAATATTTTTATAAATTTTAATTTCTACTTTGTATATGGGCTGAATTCTTGCTTACTAATTGTAAGCAAAAGGTTTGTCATTATTGTTCTTGTATATCACTGATTAGTGGTCGATATAATAATGCCATTTTGTTTTAAAATGGACATAGTGTCTGTCCATTACCTCAACGGTACAGATGAACTATCTGTCTGTTTAAAAAAATCTGTTATTTCTTCAAACAGCTGTCGCCCCCCTACGAACGACAACTATCAAAATTTGAAACTTTTGCGACTAACGAGGTCTTGCCTTTTAACATGTGATTCCTAACACAGTGTTGACTTTTAATTTTTTAGCTTTGCATTATTGTAACAATTACTTCCACCGAACCCATTAAACACCCTTAATTCACTTTCTTCTATGCCATATTTTATACTCACCAGTTTCAAGAGAAATTATGATTCCACATTCCTCAAAATTTCAAAACAGTCAATCAAAACACTGAACGGTGACGAAAAAACAGGAGTGTTTGAAATGTAAACACCAAAAATACATACATTTTCTATCAGTCCATAACTTTCACGAATTTTAGTAATGGATTCAAAGAGATTTTCAGAGAGACTTTCCACTGGAAGGTTTGCACATGAGTAATAATGCAAAAATGACCATTAGTTATAAATATTCAGTGATAAATCACAATAGAATGACTAATAGTGCTTATTGAAATGGCATACTGTAGACCACCATATAGCAGTATATGGCACGAATACTATGATTCAAAAGTATCACCAATTTTACCGCAATCATTATTTAGTGGAGAGATGTACGCTCTCTTTTGTAAAGATGAAATTTTATTCAAGTATTGTTATCTAACACAAATAATTAGATGGTATATTATTTACTTGAAATATCAAAACTATTACATATAATATTATTATTATTACATTGTGTGTGAATTTTACCTCAAATATTTTTCATTAACTACTAAAATCATTTAGATATAACATGATATTAAACAATATCCTTGCTCTCCCCTAAGCAAATATCATCTCGTCTCTCCTCCGTTTTGGAGCATTAGGTTTGACTTGGCATTCGGAGTGGTTCATCAATTCTGGAGGACAAGTTGAAACTGGAGAAGACAACAGCATCTGTTTCAGATCGTAGAACAGAGGGGAGTCATCCTGTGTGCAGAAGCTGACTGCAATACCAGTCTTACCAGCACGTCCAGTCCTACCAATACGATGAGTGTAATCTGAAAGACAATTCAGAACATTGTAAAAAGTACTTATATTTTCAAATAGAGATATTGTTTGAAGATGATAAAATATAAATAATTGTTAATTCTTTATGACTTAACCAAAGTAACTTCGCTAAGCAATGTTATATGTATTTAGTCAACTAATGGTAACCAAATATGTTTCAAATGACTAATCCGCAAATACATGTGAAGGAACTTACATTTAATTAAAATGAATTTACACGTATTTGAAGCCGAAACTGTAGAACATTACTCATGTCATCTGATAAATGGAAGCACCGAAATGGAAGGGAAAAATCTGCTCCATCACAATGACAGTTCATACAAGTCATCCACACGACTTTATTTTGATCCCAGCCTCAAAAATTTCATTTATTGAGAAGGAGGTATTTCTAAGAGATCAATTTTACTTTGAAAGAAGGAAATTTGCAACGAAAGGAAGGAAAAAATAAAAAATACCAATTAAAACTTCACGAGCATATGCAGGAAAGTTTCTTTCAGATAGAAACCAAACTGAAAATATGTCAAAAACAACTTTTTTGATTGTGAATATTGAATTACAAAAAAATATTTTTTCATATGCAAATAATATCCCAAACACTCTTAATGCAATAAATATGTATATACATTCACAGGAAAACTACTAACCTATTCAATAGTTAATAATTGCAAGGAGTCAAGCAAGCAAAGCAAATCAAAATATATTTCAACAAGAACAAAATCTGCTCTCGAATTGATTTGTCTGCTACTGCGACAGACATTATCAATAGTGAATGGGTTTACTGTGAGGACAAAGGTTATATTTCAAACTCTCAGCAAACCGTTGTCGACCTCAAACAAAATTTGAGCTGGAAGGTTGTGGTTGAATGGAACCTGGTGATGTCTGCTATTGCTGCAGACATCACCAGTGGAATATGCGATAACTGAGAGGAAGAATGTTATAGATTGAATGTCGTCATTGCTGAGACTTTGAGATATAACCTTCGTTACCTAACAAACCCCTTGTTCTAGCTATACATCTGAAACTCCCATTTATCAACTTACCCTCGATTGTCTTAGCCATGTCATAGTTGATAACCATCGTCACATCTTTAATATCGATACCTCTTCCGGCTACGTCTGTAGCTACCAGGATATCCTTTGTTCCACCTTTTAGACTCGCTAGAGCATATTCTCGTTGCTCTTGCCCTTTGCCACCATGCAAAGTACAAGCATTGTAACCCAGCTTCTCCAGACCTTTTGCCAACACGTCAGCTCCTTTCTTCTGATTGACGAAAATGATAACAGGTGGATCCACACCTAAAGATTACAAAAGAAATGTTTTTGAAAATACTCAACGTTCAATTGAATAAAACCCAATAGTTCTCTCAAAACAAACCTCTTGATAGATATTCCATGAGCTTGCGTCTCTTGTCATTTTCTCCCATAATGTGGACTATCTGTTCCACCCTTTCTACTGGTTTACCGATAGAACCGATGTAGACAACTGCAGGTCGCCGGAGATATGATCTGGCAAGTCTTTCCACGGCCGGGGGCATAGTAGCGGTAAACATCACTGTTTGTCTGTATTTCTTCTTGCTGTTATAGTTGGCCAAAAGGATTCTGAAGTAATGAGAAGAACGAGTATTAGGAAAACAAATGACATTCAAAATAGGTTTTTTGTTAATATTTTCATCAAACCTTCCTGACAGATCTTGAATAAAAAGAAAACTGTAAGATATATTCAAAAATATGAAATCTATGTAGACCTCTAATATGATGTCATCTGAATATAAAATTTCACAATGTTCGGATATATTATAAGAAATTTCTCAACTTGAACGTGGCACATTATTATCATCTGGAAAATTTGAAATATATTCTATCTACCCAAGAAGTTGATAATAGAAACAATGACACTTACTTGCTATCCTCTGCTTCTTCTGAGTCTGGCTTTAGGTTTGATACAGGCATATACTCTAAAATCTTCTGCACATCTGGCTCGAATCCCAGATCGATCATTCTATCAGCTTCATCAAGTACAATATATGTGCACTGATTCAACACAAGATATCGATTTTCTAACACGTCTATCAGACGACCAGGTGTAGCAATGACAATTTCGCATCCCATACGAAGCCTGAAAATTGTTTTGCATGACATTTCTCATCAAAATAAACATATTCTAATACATACCTGAATCCCTGTTCCTCTCTACTGAGACCTCCTACAACTACCACGGTCCTAATCCCCAGAGGCTGCCCAAATTTAACAGTCTCTTCTTCAATCTGTTGGGCCAATTCACGTGTGGGTGCCAGAATAATAGCATAAGGACCCTGATCAGCATCTTCGTTTCTTTCGATTTTAGGCAAACTCTGAATCCAAGACAATAGAGGAAACAGAAAGGCCAGAGTTTTACCGGAACCCGTTTCTGCCACACCAATGATGTCACGATTTTGCATGCCAATGGGTATGGCTTGCCTTTGAATGGGGGTGGGTTCTTTGTAGCCAACTTTTTCCACAATCTCAAGAAGTTCCTTCTGTATGCCAGATTCTTTCCAGTTACGAATTGGTTCCGGAATTTTACCACCTGAAAAATGTAGAGAGCACGGAGTACAAATTCAAAACTCAGTATATACAATAAATGAAGCGAATACCTTTTATTGTAATATTATAGTCCTCCCTGAATATTCTCCAATCTCTCTCCGTCATCTCTGTCAATTCTTTCTCTGTCCAGTGTCTGTCATCCCAAAGTTGCTTCTCTTCACGTCTCCTCACTTTTTTCAATCTCACTTTTTCTTGTGCTTTCTCTGCTTCTGTCCTTCGTTTCTCCAGCAATTCTCCATAGAACTTACTTTGATCCCTCTTCTGGGCTTTTATATCGATTCCAGCTAGATTACCTCTACCATAAAATTGTACCTACAAACCCAAGAGTATTGAAGAGTATATTCGCCTAGAAAATAGAAATTCCATGATATTCACTAATGAAAAAATATACTGTTCAACGTTCAATAGTAAGTGGCCTTATTGTGGAATATAATGAAATTATGTTGCTCTTGCCAATATGTGTTTCCTTATGAAAGCCTTTTTGAAAAAGTCACTCCTGGAGTAAAAAATAAAAATATAATGTTATTGCTTATTAGCTCATACAATTTGTAAGAGAAAACATAAAAGAGGCTCTCAAAGTATTATTTGAATAGAACTAGCCGATAATTGATGAAAATCCATATTAAAAAACTAATCAACACAGTTTATTGTATGATTTTCATTATAAAAGGGTTTTACAAAAACCGTGACACGTGTTTCGCTATACAAGTTTATGCTTGAGGAAGCTATTGTATAGTTTCTTAAACTATTGTTCTGAAATGATTTTTAAACTGAGACAAATAAGATCATTATTGAACTCCTCAGTCAACACAAAAATCATTTAAATAATGCCAAAAACGAATGATGGGTGAAATATGAACGGTGAAATTGCATATGAATGGAATAACATTAAGACCAGAAAAAAATTTTATGATGCAAACCTACCTGATGTTTTTCTTTATACAAGTTATTATAATCCAGCGAAGTGTCCTCCCCAGCATCCCAATCGAAAACAAACTTCCTGTCATTGAGCCTCCTTACTCTACGCTTCTTCTTCACAAGCCCCAAATACCTCTCTTTGATAGCGTCCTGCTCCTTTTCCTTGTCCTTATCTTTCTGTTTTTCTTCTTCCCTATCTCTATCTCGAGGCCTTCTATATTCTCTATCATCTTTCTTCATTTCCTCCACTCGACTAACTTGCATCGACTCTACAATTTGGTGAATATTTGTTTAAACAGAATCTTGAAGCTGAAGTCAAAAATTGGTTTTTTGGTTTACTTCTGGTAACAAAAACTTGTAAAATTATATTTTCTCTCCAAAATAGCTTTTCGTCACTAGGTACTTCCTCTATTTTCCAAGCAAATTATTTAAATTCTACAAAATTATATCTATTTCCAGTAAATAGATCATCAGTATTTATAAATCCAAATTACATTTTCACAAGGGACTTTTTCGTTGGTTCTTTAGCAATATAACAAAAATAAACTAGAAATGAATGTGATGTGATCAAATTATTAATAATCTATCAAGCCACTGTATGTACTTATTGTACACACACAATGTACTTGGTACTTGGGTTAAGTATAGTTGAAATAACATCCTTCACGTCATTAAAAATTTGACTTCCATAATTGATGTAGTTTGTGTAGTATTTTATGTAAAAGTAGACCGAACTGACAAATTGCATTTATTTGCGGAAATGAACAAACAGGTACATTCTTCTAAGACAAAGTTATGTAAAATTTCCGAAATTTCACAAACATGTTTTTCAATACTAGACTTTCATTTTTTTCTGATTTTGCCAACAAATACTCATATTAGCAATTAGGACACTATCAATTAAAGCATGATTCTAAAAAGAAATATTTCATTGATGTGAAAGTGTTTTATTTTTTGAAAGCATTTGAAATGGGTGGGTGGGTAATAGTATCAACTTCTGAAAGGTTGTATCTCCAAAAAATTAGAGACTAACTGACTGATAATAAATAGATCATGATTTATTTTCGATTTATTTGCATGACTGTGATATTCTAAACCTTTTCGGCAGATGCCAGTCTACTAATCAGTTTTAGGCAATAAATAACCTTCAATGCGCTGATAAACTGAATGATTTACTATCAACAATTGGTACTTATTTCAACTCTAATAGAATTAAACGTAATACAACTATAACTGAGGCAATGATAATAACTATACATTATAAACATAAAAGTATCAATATATATCAATTCAATTTCTTAAAAGATGAAAATAGAAATGAGTTCTATAACAAATTCAAGTACTTTTTTATGGTGGATAAATTCTTATCATTCAATGACATTTCTTCTATATGAGTAAAACAATCTCCAAAAAACTATTTCTTTTCTAGAACATCTCCATTCTCATCAACATATTCTGAAATAACTGTATACAACACAATTATCAAGCCAAATTTTGATTATTGTGGTAGCTTACTCTACTCATTTGATTTGACCAAACTCTCATCACCACAGAAATTACACATTCGTGTTATGAGAATAATATTACAATGTTATAGATCAACCAGCATTTTGACAATGCCTATATACTTTAGAATGGTTATCAGTGAATAACAGACTCCAGTTATTGTTTTGCCGAAGACAGATAATTAGAAATTAAAGTAGTAGATGAATTTCTACTTTTTGATGAGTATTTATTGATATATTTGAACAATGTATTATTAATGTATACATTAGATTGTATTCTACTGAAATAAAGATCGTTATTGTTATTGAAAAATAATAGCGTAGATTATCAAATGAACATCATCTGCTATAGCTCTCGTGAAAATAATCTGAAACTCCCTCTCCCCACAACCAATCTAGTTACGACTATTTTATCCTCAACAGTAGTCAAATCAAAGGGAAAAGCTACATATCCAGAAATAAAACAAACTACTGAGGGGAAAAGACCTATTACAGTTTATCTGAATTTTATGTGTTTTTCAGTCTCTTGTTTCTATCTTTATATTACATAGATTTGAAACTGTTCATTCATAACGCTTTTGTTTCATAAGTTTTCCATTTATAGACCTACAAGAATCAAGATGATAAGTTGAAATGAATATTTACCTATAATTTTCCTTTCCTCCTCTTGCTGTTTTCTCTGTCGCTCTACTTCTTCCTGGCGACGTTTAAGAGCCTCAGCAGCCCGCTGTTCTTTCGTTAAAAACACTGGCTTACTCTTCGCAGCTTCTTCTGCTTTCTTCTTTGCAAGCAGCTCTTCCAACGACAAAGGTTCTTTCTTAGCAACTTCCTGTTTGCAGTTGACATCTTTGTTGTCCACTTTGACATCTTCGGCCTCTTCTGTTACCTCCTTCTTTGTATCTTTGAGTTTCTTGTCTTTCTCATCATATTTTTCCCTATCGTTTCGAGGATGTTTATCTCTTTCGGTCTTTTCTGGTTTGTCGTATTTGCTGGAATGGGCTTCGTACTTGTCTCTTTCTCTAGACCGGGAACGATGTCTTTTATGCCGGTCCTGGCGTTCTTTACTTCTAGATCGAGATTTCTTACGTTTATTTCTGTCTTTATCCCGTTCCCTGCTACGGGATCTTCGTTTCTTATCACCGGCCATATCTAAAATTAGATTTCGATGTTATTTCTTTGACGAACAAAAACTAAATGTACAATTGTATGCATGTACTTACGAATTTACTGAATGAAAAAAAACATTTCTTTTGTCTTAACCAAACTTTATGAACATTTCTAGGTTTTTTGAGATGTTCCAAAAGTAACCAGAAATATGATTTGGTCAGTTTGGTGAAATCACCACTATTGTGGTACCACTGAAAAAGCGGTTAGATTTTTTAACACAAAGTCAAAATACTAACCAATAATTTTGTTCTCGGCTTCAGATTTTTAAAATCGAGCATACCTAATAAACAATGATACATTCATTACTCAGGTAACAGCGGCAGTAATTCAAGTTAGTAGCGGTTGATAAGTGGTTATTTTTGGAACATTAAGTCGATCACATTTTTTAAGGCCTCGGTCTTCTCAAGTCAACACTTTCTGCTGGATTTTAGTTCTCTGTATTTTTTTTTTCACTCTACAGCTATGTCTTCGCCCTGAGGAAAATCATAGAAGCTTGTTTTCTTCATAGTTCTTTCTGTGGTTTCGATATATAAGCACTTATTTTCCTAGTATTGACCTTCACAGTCTGCACAGAACAGTAAACACGAAGTTTGACAGATGACAATTTTAAGGCTGATTATCATCAACCTAGAAATTTCGTCGAAATAATTAATGAGGTCTTTGAACACTCAAAAGCAATCTCACAGATGAGACTTAGAAAGTTTTGCACGAGTCTACTCTGAAAAATCAGCTGTACAACTATTTTGAATTGTCGACCAAGCGTCTTCATTCCTTTCAGGTTGGAGCCCAGCTCCTTTACCTTTTTAGCTGATTTTTGTCGAAGAAGGACAAATAGGTCGAACTGCGAACACAAGTACTCGTAGCCACAGCATAGATTACCTATGCTGTGTCGTATCGGACAATTGACAGCCAATAAGAATTCACCAAATTTATCGGTTAGGACAAATTTTGAAAATTTATTGGATGGATATGACGTCACCGATGTATTGTGATAACGCGCAAATTTTAAAAATCAACATTAAATTCATCGGTGGACTGTGATAACAGATGAATAAATAAACAGACTGAAAAATGTTTTAAGAAAATGATAGATGAAATTTGTTCAGTGCTTTTGATAGTAACAATGATTATAATGCACACATTGCCTGGAATTGAGGTTTTCTTTAATAAATTGACAACTGAATTGAGAGATACACAAATTAATGTATCACAATTAAGATGCATAGAAATACCATGGTGTAATCACTTGAATCCCTCCCAACTTAGAATGTTTTGATGTAAGCACTCGATCTACGGCAGTCTTGATTCTTCATAAAATAAAGAGATCAAACGTACTTCAGCATTTTATTTACATAGGCGCCACACCCATAGCAATGTTTACATTTGGAAACTATTGTTGTTCCATTTATCCACATGTGAACAAAGTTGGGGAAATCTCATTTCTTGCGTAGAGTTTTTACAAAACAAAAAGTGAATCGGTTTAAACACCGATACATCTTCATCGCAATTATAAGAAGCCGAAGAACATTCTGATGAGGAAAGTTTTAGACGATATGGATTATTTAGAGTTGTCCTAAGTTAAATTGAATTCCAATTTCATTATAATTGTCAGAAATTTATTATAATTATAATCGAGTAAGTACCTGATTGGGTAATATCAATTGTGATTACGTGGGGTTTATAAATATAAGAGTGAAGAATGAACTTTTAGTATGTTTCACTACGAAAAAGCTACTGTATCAGCGAAACATGTCGTGATTTTTTTTTAAATAAAGTTTGTGAAGATCAAGTTGTAAGGTGTAGGTGTTGTGATATATTAGTTTTTATTTATTTATACATATGTACAAAACATTATTAGCAACAATGTTTTTCATGTGATAGATATCTGTATGAATTATACTGTGGAATGTTTATTGAAAATAATATATCCCTGTGTCACATAATATTATAGAAATGACAAAAAACAAATAACATTAATCTAGGATTAGGTTGAAATTATATTTGAACTGTAAGCTCCTATTATCACAAAGTTATAGTATTTAAAATGATGTTTCTTTTTCTGGACGAATCTGATGTACAACTGGTTTTGTCTACAATTTGATGGAGTAACCGATGAATTTATGAATGGTTCGATGTAAATCAATGTACGAGCAGTTGATTTCAAAATCTTGCCCTTAAAAGCTGGTTAAGAAATAAACAATGCTATTGAATTCTAATTACAACGGTGAGTTGACCAGTAAAAAAAGAAACAAGATTGAACTAGTCTAAAGAAGCTATATGACGGAATCCGCCGATACTTGATGTAAATCCATAATGTATTCAAGAAACACTTTGTGAGATTTTCAATAAACAGTTTTACAAAAATCAACACGTGTTTCACTATACAATAGCTTCTTCAGGCGTGTCTATAGACACGACTAAACTTTTTATAATGTTCAATCTCAATAACTATATTCATTGTTGTATTTTGTTGGAGGGCAGTCAGTGGCGATAGTATTATGAAAAATCATATCAAGGTCAAAATGAGTTTTGTGCATATTTGAAAAAAAGCCAGTTCCTATACAAACCTTTTTATTAATCAATTAAGGTTATATTCCAAAGACTAATGAAAACATACTTTGTCAAACGAGAGGTTCAAATATCAACTGTAATCGTTCATTTAATATATACAAATTCAATTCAATATATAAGCCTAAAAGAAAATACAACTGAAAATGTGTATAAACATTAGCACAATCTCAGCCAAACATAAAAAATCACTACTCCAAAAATCAACAATCACAAAGTAAAAACTTATATATTGCATTTTAGCCTTAATTAAAATAAACACTTCCTCCATTATCCGATTTACTGTAATAAATCAACAAAATCAAGTAATTGTCAGCTGACTAAGAAACCAGGATTTCTTTTTTAAGCAAACATCAACCATTTGACACTTGCAATAATTAATCCAACAATTCACTGTAGGTCACATCAAATCAATAAAATATATATCACGGAAGAATATCACTAAGAACAGGGCATATCCTCTGAAAGCGTAACTGAATAAATATCAAAATGTGGCCAAACAACTTCAGAAGGCACACCCCGCTAAAAAAATAATTTGGATTAAACATAAATAATAATATTTAAAGTAATTAATAGCGATATATGATATATAAGTTACTCTCATTAAAAATTATTTCTTAAAGTCGAAAAAATTCACTTCCAATGAACTAGTACAACACGCCTCTGAAATATGTCATTTTTGTTTGTCTCATACAGGTAACAGATTCATTGTCCTTTATTAGCTATAACTGATGTTGCCAAATGGTGAAATAGAAACGAATCCCTTTAAATGTTGAATGCATTATTTCATTCCTCTTTTTTAAGTATTTAAATATTTTTTTAAAGAAAAAAGTTGAAATGATAAGTTCAAAATGCGTTGTTTTAGAGCTCTTTTATGAAAACTACTTGATTTTCGTCAGGTGGAACATTCCCCATTATGTCCAAACATAAATAATGCAATTTCACAATTCATCCCAAGTTTATTCTCGAGTTTAGTAGCATTGTTCACTAATGGGACAATTTTAACGAAAGTAATGATTCAAATTTTCTTCGATTATTTGATTCTGTTTAACAACTATAAAACTTCTCTATATAGACCATGGGAAAAATCTTTCTTGAGATATGGACTCTTTTTATGGAGTATATCTGCTCAAAATTGTCTAAAGTCTGTTTTTTTCAAAGATTTTTTAACACTATATCCTATGAAATTGATTGGGATCCTTTACAATTTTAACGGAGTTCTCAAATTAGCCCAGAATGAACTATCATGATTTCATTTTCACTGGTGTTCTAAGGCAAATACTACCATTACTTCAAAATTTTCAATACACACAAAAAATATAAATAAAAACTTTTTGAAAGTCAATGAAAAACAATCCCTTCTACTCACCTAACCTATTAGTGACATTCAAATAACCGCCGGAAGGCAAAAGGGTCACCAAAATAGTTCCATCTTTAGCAACATCAACACTAGCATCATTGTGAATCTTGCACTCACTGACCACAACATTTCTCGTAACTGCAACAAAACTAGAGGTCACCTCAAACGTTCTCCCCACCAAAAAAAAATACTCACCAATCCCTATATTTGGTATGCTCCAATCTGAAATGTCCCAAGCCTGGATCCGGTGATTGGGCGTCACTGTGGTGATCATGTCGCTGTCGTAGATTTGATCTCGTTGCGGATCATCCAGGTCGGCGTCAAAGGGATTCACGCTGGCATAGAGCGGATGCAAAAACCTTGGCCTGTACAATCCCATCTGAGGGTTCGATCTCAACTCCGAAACTCGCTCGGCGAAGCGCTGCCTGTGCGAGTTGAGTCGCTGGGCGAAGGAAGGTGACAAAGGAGGGTCCATTACCTGAGAATGTATATTAGGTCAAGTATTAGGAGCAACTTCACAATACTTTCGGTAATGTAGTGAAAATTGTGAAATAACTGATCTTGTGTCAGTTGTGAAATTCATAAACAGAAAACGAAGTCTGTACCTGATATTCTCGAGTAAGGCATTAATTAGTTCATAGGATTCTTCCAATTTCACGAAAAAATTATGGATAAAAAGAAGTGCTCCAAATGCGAAGGAGAATTTGAATTAACCCAGCTCTTTGCCTGTGATAGTTGCAGAAAAAAATCTGTGCAGTGGTGAAGCCTGTGGAAATTGTAACAGGATCAGAAATCAAAAGTCTACAGCTGAAAACATTGTTTATGTGAAGACTGTGAATCAGGATTCTGGAAAGTACCTTCACTGATTACCCAGATGAATGAATTGAAGGCTAATTTTGAAAGATTAGCCAACAATTCATTGTCTTTTCAGAACAAAGGCGCAGATACTGATGAGTCTTCAGAAGAGGTTATATCTGAACTATTAGAGAGACAAAAAAGGAAACGAAATATTATGATAGGAGGACTGAAGGAGTC